CAGGATGTCAGGTGATGAATCCATTTGGCAGGCAGTTGCCCATTTGTCTGATTTGAATTTCATCTTCCCCAAGAAAATTACTGGGATTTCTGCTGTGCCAAGGCACCTGTTTATTCAAACAGCCTGCTCCTCCCTGCCAGCTTTCGCAGAGCAGGCTGGCCCTGCCGGGCTCCTTCCCAGAGGCAGGAGTGGCAGGAGGCAGTCTGCCAGCTCTCCCTGGGAGCCATTCAGCTCCAGCTCCGCCGTGAAGAACAAAGGACACGGTTGCTGTAAGCCTCCCCGGGCCAGAGAAATATTGGGGCAGCTCAAACCGGCGCTAAGAACGCAGGCGCATGCTGGTAGGTGGGAGGGCGAGGGGAGGAAATGAAAGAGAAAGCAGCATTCTTGTGGATCAAGTGCTCAGATTATTTTTGCTGCTGAGACCTCTTATGACAAAGATACATGCAGCTAAGCATCGCCTTTTTAGGTCACTCACGGCCCGTTTCTGAAGAGCCCAACCTGCACGATTACGTGGATGATGTTTAATTGAACTTTTTGGGGGCTTGCTCCTATATCCTCATAAAATACCATCACTGACAAACAATGTGAAGAATGTTAGTATCTGAAGGAAAAACAAAATCTTCAGGTTTTCCGTGTAAAAAGAAAAAAAATAGATTAGATGATAAATCTGTCTGACCCCTGAGATAATTAGATTTCATCTTAGTACCTTTACCATATCACGTTCTGTAACTGCCACAACAGTAACAACAATTTCATTTTCCTGCTGACTTGAGCATTGCAGGTGGGGCGAAGCCTGGTGACAGCACGCATCCTCCGCTGGACAATTTCAGCGACGCCCCGTTGGTCCCTTTGCTCTCTAATGATCTGGTGTCGGAGCCTGGCACCAGAAATCGCCTGAAAGGAGAAAAATGGGCCGATCTGCAGGCCGTCTTCAGTGAATCGATGTAATGAGCCTCCGTTGCACACAGAGATGAGAATTCTAATGTGTTCCTAAGTGGCCTCTGGATGGTGCATTTCCAGCATCTCGGGTTAGGTATTGCTGCAGTGACACAGTCAGAACATTAGATGTGTTACTTATCCACGTCCACTATTGTGGGGGTTTGTGACTCAGCTTCATATCAGGTTTAAAAAGACCTTCATATGCTGCAGATAAAAACAGCACTGATGGAGGACCCCATAACAGGAATTAGGAGGCCCTGCCATCCAAAGGGGTAATGTAGAAGGCTTATAAAAACTGAGATGTCTTAGCTTATTATCGAGAGAATCCTTTCATGAAAACGAAATGCATTTGAAATGATGATCTGTTAGCAACAAGACGTACCAAATGGGAAGGGAAAAAAATGACCAAACTCATATACTGGAGTGTAGAGCAGATAATGATGTAGAGAATTTCAGGTTGCCATGGAGACGTTCTCTGGCTCATTGGCTAGGTTGCTGCCATCAGAAGCCACCACTCTCTTCTAGCGCAGAATGAATTCAGTGCTATTCCGGGGAATTCATTTTCTTTCTCCCCTGTGCCTCAAACTGCAGGGTGGAAGGATCAAAGAGGCCACAGCATAGGCCCCGCTGAAATGGACCAGCTGCCAAGTTGTGTGAATGCGATGACTGTGTGGCCCAGTGCAGCTCGGAAGAGAACTGAATGCCCAGAAGGGTAGTGTAAACAAGAGGCAGTGCCTCAGATTAGGAAAGAAAGACGTGAGAGTGACCAGAGTAACCAAGAAGGCCTCGTGGCAGGAAAATCTGAGGGATGGGTGATATTTGGCTCATAGTAGCACTCAGTGAAGGAGCAGAGAGAATATTCCAGAAAGGAGAAAAAGTGTGAGCAGAGCTTCTGAGGCAGGGATGACATGGTAACAAGGCAGTGCAGAGACGACCCCTGCAGTTGGAGGCCTTGGTGAGGCAGCGGGTGAGATGCCTGGAGGCCTGAGCTGAGAGCACAGGGGCACTGGAGAGGGGCTGGAGGTCTGTGACAGGCTGGTGAGGTAAGGAAAGCCATATTTTACAAATATCGATCAGGACTAAAGTCCAGGATAGACTGGAGGGGAGTGAAACTGTAACCCAGGAGAGGTGCTGAGAGCTTAGATTTCTGTGGTGGATGTTTCCTTGAGAAAAGAAAGGGGCATTTATTTACAAGAAAGCACCCATGGCATTTCACAACGGGAGAAACTGAGGGGCATACTTGGACTCCTCTTCTGAACAAATGGGCCCTGGGACCACCTCTGAAGCTCAGGAGTCTGATCTGGTTTGGCTGGCAGCGGGGTTTGGTTTTCTTCTTCGCCGCGTGAAACAATAATGCAGAGGATCCTTTTGGTCAGTGAAGCTGCTCTGTAGGATACTCTCATGGTGGATAAATGTCATTCAACGTTTGTCAAATCCTATAGGATACACAAAATTCAGAGTGAATCCTAGAGTGCACTGGGGGCTTTGGGCGATAAGGATACAGGTTCGTTGATCGTAACGAATGTTCCACTCTTGTGGGGGGTGCTGAGCGTGAAGGGATGCTGACAGTGGGTTGTGAGGCAGCAGATGCGTGGGAACTCTTTGTGCTTTCTCCTTCCTGTCTACCTAAAATCACTCTAAAAAAATAAAGTTAGTTCATTAAAAACCAACAACAAAAATCATGTAAATTGCCAGATTTGGAATCAAAGACCTAACCGACAGCCAACATGTGTTCAAAGGTCAATATGGGGACAAAGAATTTTGGAAAAGAGTCATGTAAAGGCCACTAAAGCCATTGAAATAGAACAAGCATCTAGGAAATGAACTGGAGAAACCAGAGTCTGGAGGCCCAGGGCCTTCAATGAAGGTACCTGCAGGCCAGTGAAGACCCGCCAAGATGGATGGGAGTTTGCAGGCCTGAGTGACGGGAGGAATGGTGAAGGGAAGATGAGCCAAAAACGGAAGCTTTATTATGCGTTAAGGAAACCCTGTAACTGGCTGAAGCCAGTTTGGCTCAGTGTCGGTCTGCGGACTGAAAGGTCCCAGGTTCAATTCCGGTCAAGGACATGTACATTGGTTGTGGGCACATCCCTGGTAGGGGGTGTGCAAGAGGCAGCTGGTCGATGTTTCTCTCTCATCGACATTTCTAGCTCTCTATCTCTCTCCTTTCCTCTCTGTAAAAAATCAATAAAATATATATTTTTTTTAAAAAAGAAAGAAAGAAACTCTGTAACTGTGTTCCTCGTTTCTTTGTTGAAGTTGAATATTTCCAGTATGATACCACAGTCCTGACAATATTTATGCTTCAGTGATTTGTGACCAGTTTGTTTCTTTGGTTGATTGATTGATTCATTCATTCATTCATTAAAACCATTAAAATGAGGATAATATTTTTGGATTGCAGTAGTATAAGCAACATGATATTCATGATTTTTCTAAGCATATTGACTTTTTTGGATAAAAGCATATTCTGACCACCTAATATTGCAGTGGGGAAAAAGACCCATTAGAATCTGAAAAGGACAGTTCAGAATAAGCATGTAACAACAGGTTAAACCAGTGGATGGCAAATCATGGCTCGCCAGCCGCATGCGGCTCTGTGGCCCCTTGAGTGTGGCTCTTCCACAAAATACCACAAACCCTAATTACTAAGTTAATAACAATGTACCTACCTATATAGCTTAAGTTTAAAAAATATGGCTCTCAAAAGAAATTTCAATCGTTGTACTATTGATATTTGGCTCTGTTGAGTGAATTTGCCGACCACTGGGTTAAACAGTCCGTGGTTCATATCACTACCCACGTCTTATCGCTTTCGGGGAGTCCTGGCTTGTATTGGCTATCCATGAGTAAGTCAAGTTTATTGACTACATAAAGTTTAGGCTGATGTCACCTAAAATATGCAGATGTGTAAAAACTATCAGTCTTGGCATTTAAAGGTGCAGTGTGATGAGTTCCTTAATGTAACTTAAAGTTACAGGCACACTCGGATCAACCTCTGGATGAAGGACCTCCATCTCCTGGCAGAAGCAGTGCTGGTTGGGTGTTGCTTTAATAGTGCGTGGCTTCTGCTCATGTTTACTAGCCAGCTAACCAGAGCTGTGGAGAACCAGGCCACGATTACTGTTATAAGGGAGACATCGTTTTACAGTTAACTTCATTATGACTGGAATGGGATCACACAGCATTACCTCTTTTCATTTCTCACTGCCAAGCTTTAAAATCTATACTAATAAAAGGGTATTATGCTAATCAGACTGGGTCTACCAGACATCTTCCAGACGTTCAACTTCCTTCCTGACAAAGCCAAGGTTGCGGGGGCCGAGGCAGAGGCAGTTGGGAGTGATCAGCCAGCAGGGGAGGGCAGTTGAGGGCAATCAGGCCAACAGGGGAGCAGTTTAGGTGGCGATCAGGCAGGCAGGCGAGCGGTTAGGAGCCAGTGGTCCTAGATTGTGAGACGGATGTCCGACTGCCAGTTTATGCCCAATCCTGCAGGGCCTAAACTGGCAGTCGGACATCCCCTGAGGGGTCCCAGATTGGAGAGGGTGCAGGCAGGGCTGAGGGATATATACACTCCCATGCATGAATTTCATGCACTAGGCCTCTAGTCATTACTAGGTACATATAACTCTACCTTTTATACCTGTAAATGACACAGATTTTCATAAGGATACATACATATACTCACCCATACAATTATTATGAGGTATTTTGCAATCATTACATTAAAAAGCCATTGTTTCATACAAATATCACAAAATAAGTTTTTTACTTGTTTTCTTAACTATGCAATGAAAAATCTGATTCAAAGCAGGCATTGGGGAGCCATGTTAAAATCACTGTAAATGCAGATGATCGGCATATACTGTGTTTTGAATTGCTAACTTAAGCGAAATATAATTTTGCTACTTTCCATACGGGTGGTAATTTGGAAATGTGAAAAATACCTGATTCCCTATGAAGCAGAGTGTTTTAATTGTGATTTAAGTTTGAGCAAAAGGAAGGAACATTTCCCGATCTTCCTCTTCACAATACTGACATTCGGCATCGTCCTCTCCTAGGCCGCGCAGTGCCGATTATTTTATGCAGGAAGCTAAGCGGATGAAGCATAAAGCAGATGCAATGGTAAGACCCTCTTCCTTCCAGATACGTTTTTCCAAATGATGTCTGTACTGCACCTTGATCACGGGGCAATGTAGCTGGGTAATTATAAAATCTATTACAAGGATGGCCGAGTCTGTTAAATGGAGAAATGTTTATATAATCAAGCACCCATCACCCAATAAAGTATGACTTCAACCAATAATGTCTGACTGGGAGAAAGCGCTGGAGAAATGAATATTTTATTTTAGTCCTACGTTTTGAATAGTAACTAGAGGTAATGGAGTCAGTAGGTAGCATTTTTTTTTTCTCTTTAAAAATAAAATCTAAGTTTGCATTTTTCTGTCATATTAGCCTGGCCAGCCCTTGGCGTGGCCCCAGGATCTAATCCCTTTTCAAAAATGAATACCTCTCTGAAACTGTACAGCAGAAACTGTTACAATGCACCTAAGCCTCTGGAGTCACCATGACTTGGTGTTTATAACAAATAATGTTTCTTACCTGGCTAATCTCCTGTTTTGGTTAGCTCGAGGCTGTTTAGGCATTAGACTTTAAAAAAAAAAAAAAAAAAAAAAAAGTCTGAGTTTTGTTTTTCTAAAAGCGATCATGTGGTTCTTGCATCTTGAGGCCTCGGCCAAAGGAACTCTCTCCTCAGGGAATGCCGGTTCGATTCCCGCCAGCTTGTATAGCGGAGCTGGGGAGCTGGAGATGGCAGAGGCATTTCAAATGGCCTTCGTCTTATTCCGGTGCTGACGATGTCCAACCCGTACAGCGCTCCTGTCCCACTGCTACCGATGTTGCCCATCAAATATTTACTTGTGTGACGATCCCCGGCTGGGTTCACAGTGCAAGGCACAGAGCCAGAGTGTCAGAAAGCAGAGGAGGTGCCGTCTTGCCCTCACACTCCCACAGGCTGATGAAGGCTTCCGGTCCCCTGAGGAGCGGAGACATGCTGTTGGAGAAGAGCAGCGAACCCTAAAGCAGAATGGAAAGTTCTGCCTGAATCACCAGGGTTACTAGGATGCTTCACTCAGTGTCACCCTGTCCCACCCCACAGCTTCAGCCAGCAGGCTGTGTACTTACAGAACCGCACACTCACACACACACACACCGCTCGCACATACCTCCACACTCCCTCTCACGCACTCACACTTTCAGCATGTCCCCAAACCCTTTCCTTCCCACAGGCATTTTCAGGTCTCCTCCCCCAGGCCTCCCGCCTCTGCAGCCCCATCACCTGCCCCTCCTCCATCCCATGTGCATTGGACTCAAGTCACTCACAGGCTGCCCTGCACCGTGAACTGTCGTGAGGGTACCCATTTTTTCTCTCTGATTGTATTATCTGTTCTTGGAAGGAACTTGTGTGCATCAAGTGCGCACAGGAAAGAACTGGGTGCTTCAGGAAATACTTACTGTTGAAATGGCTTCTTTAATCTGAAAGTGTTGCCAAGAGATATTACTCAATAGCCTGTTAGGGTTATAAGCTGTTTAAAAATTTGATTTGCTAATGAGGGAGTAGTTAGCTCTACATTTCTGTTTTCTAAGGCATCATTATCAATGAGAAATTTTTTAGAGGCAACACTTATATTAGTAATTAGAGTATTTGTGTAATTCTGTTTTGATTCACAAATGAATACTGGAGAGATTACGCGATTCAAACTTAAAACATGTAATTATCTACAGAGTGTAGCAAAGTATGGAACCAGGAACTTGATGTGTAAATTTATATTTAATAGAATCTAAGAATATAAAGCACATTCTTGCTATTGTGGGGAAGAATTAAACATCAACTTAGACAACCTCCTATAATCCAAAAAAGACTCTTTATTAAATATAACTCTGTATTCCATTTTAGCTAAACTGAAATATTGCCTTGAGTTTTATCCCCTCTCCTCACTCTCTTCCCTGGCTGAGGTCCTGACTATTAAAGAAATAACTACACACACACACTAGGAGGAAGGCATGGAAAGGGAAATGTTAGATAATGTAAAATACAAAGGCACATGTTTATGCTGTAAATCATCAAAGTTGAAGCATACTAAAAAGAGTATGAAAATTCTTGTAAGGAATCACACCCACCAGCTTCGCTGTGTATTTAGCATAGAATGGAGGCACAAGGAATGTAGCTGCCACGCCCTGAGGGGTTGAAAGAGGAATGACCATGAAGTTCTGAGAGGTTCTGATTGGCAGTTGTTACATGGATTTGGTACAATTCTGTCTGTAACCATTCACTCATTCACCCTAAAATAGTGGCAATTTATGAAGATAACTAGAGGAGGAAATGCCCCATTTTTTTTCCCCTCTCTCAGTTCCATTCACAGGATTTCTCAAATGAGGTGTATAGACCATGTGACAATACTGTTTAAAACCTGTACTTACGGGAGACACTGTGTTAACTGTTGAACAGGTGGAAAAGTTTGGAAAGGCTTTGAACTACGCCGAAGCAGCCTTGTCATTCATTGAGTGTGGAAATGCAATGGAACAGGGCCCAATGGAATCCAAATCTCCATACACGATGTATTCAGAAACAGTGGAACTCATCAGGTGAGTGCTGTGTGTTCTCGCTGGGCAGGGGGAGTGGGGGAGGAGTGAGGACTGTGCGTGAGTGCTCTGAATACAGAGGAGAATGTCAACCTGCAGGATCAGCTTCTGAGAACCTTCGTTCGCCTCTGAAAGTGAGAGTGTGAGCTTTTGCCTGCCCTGCTTCCTTTGTCCTCGTGATGAGTCAGGCAGGGCATTTCCTATGACTCCTTATTCCTGTAGGAAGGAAGTTGAGTCTGGAAGAGAGATGAATGCATAGTTCACCCAGCTAGGCAGTAGCAAATTTTTAACTCACTTGACGTCTATGCTGCTTTTTTAAAAATATGATTCATATTAGTGTAATCTCAATTCTAACTCCATCAACAATGATTCAGAAGTATTTAATGAAAGGAAAGCAGATTTGGGGGATGTTAGGGAAGGAAATGTATCCTATGACTTAATATCTCAGAGTGTCCTGGCGTTGTCCTAGTGCAGTGGTCGGCAAACTGTGGTTTGCCGCTCTGTCGAGTAATGAGTTTGCCGACCACTGTCCTAGTGTAAGAGTTAGATGTGCACATCATTCCCCGACCGTGGGCAGTTGGGGCCTGATAAACCCTCCCAGCCTCACCCTGAAAGTTGTCTAAGACCCTGTTTTACCACAAAGGTCTGTAGTTACCCAGCAGGTGGAAGCTAGACTTGGTATACCCTAGGACCTTGGCTGAGTGGCCGCAGACCCAGCACTGGCACACTGATTGAACGTGTTATCCATCTAGTGAACACCATTCATACCTGGTGACTCACTGAGAACCTACCTATTAAACCCAAGTACCATCAGAGGCTCTTTCAGTGACTGAGCCTAACAGGCTGCCAGCAGGTGGAGGCAGGCAAAGGTGGCTATCAGGGTGCCTTGGGCCTTTTGCTGACCTAACACTGGACTCGGTGCTGGTGCAAGCCAGCCTTGATGCATAGCTTTGTCCTTTGCACACGTACCCAGGTACAGCAGAGGCAGCCAGAAACTATGGATCCCCTTGTAGCTCCAAACAGGTTGCCCAGGATCAGTCATAGGCAGTGTTTGCTATTAACCTGCACCAGTCCCTCCCAAAAGGCCCCAGAACCAACACATCCAATGGCCAGCTTCAGACAACATCAGAGCAGGATCTGGATAGCTTTGCACTTGGCATAGCCAAAGTGAGATCTCTGCAGGCACCAGACCCTGCTGAGGCAAATTCTGCTTAGTGCAGTCAGCATCTGCACAGCAACTAGTACACACTGACTGAGCCTCACAGTCAAACAGCCTGAGACTCAAACCCATGCACCAAATGGCCAATAGCAAACTCATGACTTAATTACAGTAGAATGGCTTACATAACCCACACAAAGGACATTCCTAGAACAATCAGCTCAGGTGATTAAGAAGACTACACCACTGGATCCCCAGGACACCTACTACATAAGGGAGACATAGGAAATATACCTAATACATAGAAAAAAATACAAATAGGCAGCCAAAATGGGGAGACAAAGGCCTTAAATGAAAGAACAGGATAAATCTCTAGGGGGGAAAAAAGAGATAAATGAAATGTAGACAAGTAATTTATAAGATACAGAGTTTTTAAAAATGTTTATAAGGATGGTCGAGGAACTTAGTAAGAAGTACAACAAGGTGGAAAGGGACATCGAAATCATTAAAAAGATCCAGTCATAAATGAATACCATATTCGAGATGAAGAATACACTAGAAGGAATAAACAGTAGGTTGGATGAAGCAGAGGATCGAATCAGTGATTTAGAAAACAAAGTAGCAGAAAGCATCCAAACAGAGCAGCAAAAAGGAAAAAAAGATGTTTTTAATGTGCAAAGTTTAAGGGACCTTTGGGACAGCATGAAGTTTAAATGTAAATGACTTAAGTGCTCCAATCAGAAGATATAGGGTAGCTGAATGGATAAGAAAACAAGACCCATATATATGCTATGTACAAGAGGCCCATCTCAGAGAGACCTCTTTAAAAACAAAGGGATGGAAAAATATATTTTGAGCAAATAAAAGTGAAAAAAATCTGGGGTAACAATACTTATATCTGACAAAATAGACTTAAAAACAAATGTTACATTAAGAGGCAAAGAACAACACTACATAATGATAAAGGGATCATTATCTAACAACGGTCTATAACTCTTTTAAACATCCGATATAAGAGCACCTAATTATATGAAGCAAATCTTGATGAACATGAAGCAAGAGAAGGATAGTAATAAAGTCACAGTATAGGATTTTAACATCCCATTTATCATTAAACATTAACATCAATGTTTTCCAGACAGAAAATCAAAAAGGAAACAGGCGTTTAAATGACATACTAGACCAGATGGATTTAATTGGTACCTTCAAAGCATTTCACCCCAAAGCAGCAGAATATACATTCTTTTCAAGTGCACATAGAACATTTTCTAGTATAAACCACATGTGAGGACACAAAACAAGTGTCAATAAATTTAAGAAGGTTGAAATTTATAGCAAGTATCTTCTCTGACCATAATGGTATGAAACTAGAAATCAATCACAAGAAAAAAGCTGAAAAACACACAAAGATGTGGAGGCTAAAGAGCATATTACTAAACAATGAATCAGTTAACAATGAGATCAAGGGAGAAAATCAAAAGATACCTTGAAACAAGTGACAATGACTACACAACAACCCCAAACCTATGTGACACGGTGAAAGCAGTCCTAAGAGGGAAATTTATAGCATTATAGGCCTACCTCAAGAAATAAGATAAAGCTCAAATAAATGATCTAACCCCACAACCAAAAGAATTATCATGTGAACAACAGAAAAGCTCAGAGTACTATTAAGTGGAAGGAAGGAAATAATAAAGATCAGAGTGGAAATAAATGGTATAGAGACTAAAAGATATATAAAGTTCCATGAAACAAAGAGCTGGTTCTTTGAAAAGATAAACAATATTTACAGATTCTTAACCAGACTCATCAAGAAAAAAGAGAGAGGACCCAAGTAAATAAAATCAGAAATGAAAGAGAATAACAGCTGACAGCACAGGAATACAAAGGATTGTAAGAAAATATTACAAACAAGTATATACCAACAAATTTAACAATCTGAATGAAATAGATAAATTTCTAGAAACATAGTCATCCGAAACTGAATCAGGAAAAATTAAAAAAAAATCTGAATAGACCAATTACAACTAATGAAATGGAAACAGTAATCAAACAGCTCCCAACAAACAAAAGTCATAGCTTCACAGTTGAATTTTACTAAACATTAAAAGAACTACCGTGTTTCCCCGAAAATAAGACATCCTCCGAAAATAAGACCTAGCACATGGAAAGATAAGACATCCCCTGAAAATAAGACCTAGCACAACTTTGGGAGAAAAATTAATATAAGACACTGTCTTATTTTCGGGGAAACAGGCAAACACCTATCCTTTTCAAACTACTCCAAATATTTCAAAAGGAGGAAAGACTCCCAGCTCATTTTCTGAATCCAGCATTTTCCTAATTTCAAAACCAAATAAGGGAACTATAAAGAAAGAAAATTATAGGCTAGTATTTCTGATAAACATAGATGCTAAAATCCTCAACAAAATATTGGCAAACCAGATCCAGCAATACATTAAGAAGATCATACATCATCATCAAATGATATTTATTCTGGGGATGCAAGGTTGGTACAACATGCACAAACCAATAAACGTGACACACCACATAAACAACATGAAGGATAAAAATCATATAGTCATATAAATAGATACAGAAAAAGCATTGAAAAAATCCAGCAACAATTTGTGATTAAAAACTCTCATCAAAGTGGGAATAGAGTGAATATAACACAACATAATAAAGGCCATATATAATAAATCTACAGCCAACATCATACTCAATGGACTGAAACTAAAAGCATTTCTTTTAAGATCTGAAACAAGACAGGATGTTTGCTTTCACCAATGTTATGCAACATGGTACTAGAAATCCTTGCCACACCAGTCAGACAGTAAGAAGAATTAAAAGGCATCCAAATTGGAAAAGAAAATGTAAAGCTGTCGTTATTTGCAAATGACATGATACTGTGTACTAGTATAGAGAACTCTATAGGTAACACACAAAAAACTACTAGAACTGATAAATGAATTCAGTAAAGTAGCAAGATACAAAATAAATGCCTAGAAATCAGTTGCATTTTTATACACCAATAATTAACTATCAGAAAGAGAAACTAAGAAAACAATCCCATTTCCAATTGCATCAAAAAAAATTAGGAGTAAATTTAACCAAGGATGTAAAAGACCTGTGCTCAGAAAATTATAAAAAGATACAAATAAGCCGAAACTGGTTTGGCTCAGAGGATAGAGCGTCGGCCCTGGACTGAAAGGTCCCGGGTTCGATTCCAGTCAAGGGCATGTACCTTGGCTGCGGGCACATCCCCAGTAGGGGGTGTGCAAGAGGCAGCTGATCGATGATTCTCTCACATCGATGTTTCTAACTCTCTATCCTTCTCTCTTCCTCTCTGTAAAAAATCAATAAAATATATTTTTTAAAAGATACAAATAAGCTAAAATGTACACCATGTTCATGGATAGGAAAAATTAACATCATTAAAATGTCCATACTACCTTTGATGCACTCTACAGAGTCAATAAAATTTTTATCAAGATACCAATAGTATATTTCATAGAACTAGGACAAATATTCCAATAATTTATATGAAATCACCAAAGACCTAAATAGCAATCTTGAGAAAGAAGAACAAAGTTGGAAAAAGCACACTATCGGATATCAAATTAGCATGGTACTGGCATAAGAACAGACATATAGATCATAGGAAAAGAGTGGAGCCCAGAAGTAAACCCATATCTTTATAGTCAATTAATATTTGACAAAAGAAGAAAGAACATATATTGGGGTAAAGATAGTCTATTCAATAAATGGTGTTGGAAAAATTGAATAGATACATGTAAAAAATGAAACTAGGCCATCTTCTTACACCATACACAAGAATAAATGCAAAATGGAGTAAAGACTTAAATGTAAGACTTGAAACCATAAAAGTCCTAGAAGAAAATACAGACGTTTCTCATAGCAATATTTTTTTGACATTTCTTCAGGCAAGGGAAACAAAAGATTAAGTAAACAAATGGGACTACTTCAAACTAAAACGTTTAGTGCAGCAAAAGGAACCATTGACAAAATGAAAAGACAACCTACTGAATGGGAGAACATATTTGTCAATGATACATCTGAGAAGGAACTAATTTCCAAAATTTATAAAGAACTCAGGCAACTCAACACTAAAAAAAAAAAAAAAAAACAACCAGTCCAATTAAACAATGGCTAAAGGATCAGAATAAACACTTCTCCAAAAAGGACATCCAGATGGCCAATAGACATATGAAAAGATGCTCAGCATCACTAATCATCAGAGAGATGCCAATTAAAACCACCATGAGATGTGACTTCACTCCTGTCAGAAAGGCTATCACAGTAAATCAACAAACAAATATTGTGTAAGATGTGGAGAAAAGGGAGCCCTTGTGGGAAAGCAGATTGGTGCAGCCACTATGGAAAGCAGTATGAAATTTTCTCCAAAAAATGACAACTGGAACTGCCTTGTGACCCAGCAGTCCCACTTCTGGGAATATATTCAAAGAAACCTGAAACACTGATTCGAAAGAATATGTGCCCCTATAGTCAATGCGTCGTTATTTACAGCAGTCAGGATCTGGAAGCAGCCCAAGTGCCCATCAGTAGATGAGTGGATAAAAAAAACTATGGTATATTTACACAAGGGAATACTACTTGGCCATTAAAACAGGAAGGAAATCTTACCTTTTGTAACAGCATGGATGGACCTGGAGAGCATCACACTAAGTGAAATAAGCCAGTCAGGAAAAGACAAATACCATATGATCTCACTTATAGGTGTAATCTAATGAACAAAATAAATAAACTAAATAGAAACAGATTCATAGAGAACAGACTGGCAGCTGTCAGAAGGGAAGGGGGTTGCAGGTCTGGGTGAAAAAGGTGAATTAAGCAAAAAAGAAACTCAGACACAGACAACAGATGGTGATGACAGAGAGAAAGGTGGAGTTCAGTGGTGATAGAAGGAGACTTGACTTGAGGATTGTATACCTGAAATTTACATAATTTTATTAACCAATGTCTCCCCAATATATTTAATTAAAACTTTTAAATTTTTCTTCGGTTTTGCTTTCTTTTCTTTTCCTCTAGGTATGCCATGAGACTAAAGACCCACTCAGGCCCCAATGCCACACCAGAGGATAAACAGCTGGCTGCGTTATGGTGAGTGCGTCACATCGACTTACAACAGCCTGCCCTGCCTGTGTGTGGCCATCGGTAAACCAGGTGCTGAGAGGCACCATGTTTTTCTAGTGCCTCTGACATGCAAAACCAAACGCAAGTCCAATCGTGGCCAGGGAGAGCCCACTCATACCTTGCTGCTATGCCAGCCATGCGGTGCCTACTCAGGTATTGAAAATCAACAGGGCCGAAACCAGTTTAGCTCAGTGGATAGAGCGTCGGCCTGGGGACTGAAAGGTCCCAGGTTCGACTCAGTCAAGGCCATGTACCTTGGTTGCGGGTACATCCTCATTAGGGGGTGTGCAAGAGGCAGCTGATCGATGACTCTCTCTCATAGATGCTTCTAACTGTCTATCTCTCTCTCTTCCTCTCTGTAAAAAATCAATAAAAAATATATTTTAAAAAAAGAAGAAGAAGAAAATCAAAGGTCCGTTATGCTAGGGTAACTTTTCCTCTGTGTGTGTGTGTGTGTGTGTGTGTGTGTTAAAACCAGGTAGGTTTGTGTTTCAATGATGTCAGTGTGAATTGTGCCAAATGTAATTTCTCTTGTATTTAACATTTGAGTTGCTATCAAAATAATTCATCTATCTCTTTACACATGGGATTAGTCTGAGTGAATGAAGATGACGCATTCAAGTCCTCAACACATTAAACCGAGGAGCGGCTCATTACACTTTGATAATAAAAGCTCTCCTTGTAAAATGTTAACCAACATTAATAGGTTTTTATATCTATAATGATCACACTAATAATGAATATGTGATTATAATAGTAATTTCCCTGTGACATCTTCTCAGTACACCTTATCCCACGCCCCCAAATCACAAGATACCTCTCTTTGTTCCTTCTGGGGCAGGGATCCAAAATATTTGTCCCCAAAGGTTTACTCCCCTGATCTGCAGTAGACAATTGAGCCTCAAAAATGAATAAATAACAGCAACATACACAAGAAAGAGGGCCTCACGAAGTGTAGCATCATCACGTCATCTGGAGTTTGATGGGCTGAGAGGAGACCATTACTCATTTGGCATGCTGGTAATCTCCCAGGTCAGCACCACCCCTGGTTAGCCAATAATTACGAGTGGAAAGCACCAAACAAGAGAGGGTATGTCTCAGGAAATGCTCTCTGCACTCTTTTCAAACTTTAAATTTCATATTAGGGCTAATGAAATAATGATGATTAATAATTGACATTATATAAGGTTACTAATATGTAAATAATAAAATATATAAAATAAAATGTTAACTATTCTCAGCACATTTGTTATTGTTTATGAAACCACGTATCTGTTCCTTTATTTGAACTCATTGTAATTGAGCGAAATAGTTTAAAGGTAAAGGAGTAAGCGCAGGTGGATGGTTATTCTTTCAGCGGCACCCCTGGTGGGGGAGGTCCAGGGTGCCAGAGGGAAGTCAGTGAGGTCACTCTGCCCTGAAACTCCAGTCAGCAGTGAAAGCTGTGAGCTGTGAGGGGCAGCTTGCTCTCTCCTCTGTGTAGAGACACTGCCCTCTAGTGGTAACAGAAGAAATGGCAGCCCCAAGCCCCAACAAAGCAATAAAACTTTTCTTAAATGATCTGATGGCAAATGCATTGATGGAGTAACCCCTTGAAATGTTGAAGTATTCCTTCTGAACAAAAGGAAGATCAGACACTTACAGAGACATGTGTGTATTTATATTGTATATACAATCAGGATATAAATATTGAGTGCTTGAAATAAGATTTTTGAGCCCCAGCGGGTTTGGCACAGTGGATAGAACCAAAGGGTCCCAGGTTCAACTCCAGTCAAGGACACATACGTTGGTCCCAGGCCACCACTCCCCACCCCCAACGCCCGCGGGCCCTAGTCAGGGCTCATGCAGGAGGCGACCAATCACTGCATTTCTTTCACATCAATGTTCCTCTCTCTTTTCCTCTCTTCCACTCTCCCTAAAAAGCAGTGGGAAAATATCCTCGGCTGAGGATTAACAGAACAAAAAAGAGGAGCTTTTTGAAAAGTCTTGTTTGCACAGGACGCACTCGTGCTTGCAGGCTCATCTCTCTTCTCCCCGCAGTTACCGATGCCTGGCCCTCCTGTACTGGCGGATGTTCCGGCTCAAAAGGGATCATGCTGTCAAGTACTCAAAAGCACTTATCGACTATTTCAAGGTACTGTCCGGCTGTCGGGGGCACTGTTCCCCAAATTTAGTTGCCTTTCTACCAGAAACATTTTGAGGGCGGAACCCATTGCTTTGAGGAGAATGCAGGAACCTCTGACGCCTACACTGACCCATTTGTCCGAACAGAGGACTTTGTTCCCTCGTGTTTTAACCGTCACGGGGCCTGGTGGTCGTGGAAAAAGCCTGAAGGCAGCTGCACAGTGGCCACATGCAAGGCCATTTCTGCCCTCTTGATGGCACCCCACTAGAGTCTAAAGCTCAGTCGCCACTTCATAACGTTCTTTTTAGCCAAGGGAAATGCTTTGTGTCTAGGGAACCAGGCCAAGGCTGTTTTCTTGTCTCTGGAGGGAAAATTCACATCAGTGTGTAGAGACTTCTTACCCCTCTAGCAGGCCGTGAACGGAGGTCCCAGGGGCATCGAAGGCTCTCAGGGAGGGTCTGTCTGTACATTTAGGAACTTCCTCACCAAAAACAGAACTTCTTGTCAATGCCCGATGCAAACAACTGGCTCGGGAAACATATCCTCCCCAGTCAGGATATTCAGAAAATCAGAATTTTTGAACACCCCCACCTGTCAAGGAAATATATTTTAATCTGTTTTTTTAGAAACATTCAAGAGGAACTTTCTTAAGAGAAATACTTTTTTAAAAATATATTTTATTGATTTTTTTACAGAGAGGAGGAGAGAGGGACAGAGAGCCAGAAATGTCAATGAGAGAGAAACATCGACCAGCTGCCTCTTGCACACCCCCTACGGGAGATGTGCCCGCAAGGGCATGACCAGAATCGAACCTGGGATTTTTCAGTCCGCAGGCTGACGCTCTACCACTGAGCCAAACCGGTTTCGGCAAGAGAAATACTTTTAAGCCTTGCAAGTTAAAATATTTCCAGGCATTAAATGTATGCAGACATGCCCTACATTTCAACATGAGGTGTTCTCATAGGGGATGAGAGGCCAGCTCTTTTTTCTTTTTCAGAAGAATTAAGCTAGTTTAAGGTGAAAAATTAAACTGGCTCAGGATTCGGCAGACCCTTGATTATGATTCAATTTGATACATTGTATTTGGGACGTGAAGTCCCAGGGTGCGGAGAAGCTCTTGCTTTTGCCCATTGTGGAGCTCGGCGGGCCAGGCAGCTCCCCACTGGGTTTCAGGGGGGGAGCCAGCAGCCTAAGATTTGTGACTTCCTGGGTTCATTTCTGGGAATCTGCATTTTATCTGCAGTGTCAGCCGTTACTCCTCTCAGCCATCCCCTGAGAGCTTGCATCGTCAGCTCAGTAAACCTACGCAGATGACTCACGTTTCTCTTTTCCTGCAGAATTCATCGAAAGCTGCCCAAGCCCCGTCTCCATGGGGGGCCGGTGGAAAGTAAGTTCATTTCCCCAAAGTAAAGGCGACAAGCCCATGCTGGGCAGGGTCTGCTCTGCTCACGGTGCCCGGGGGCTGCCCCGCCTCCGGGGGAGCCAGCCTCTCCACCTGCTTTTCTCGCTCTCCCCTTCCAGGAGCACTGGAACCCCATCGCCCATGTCCCCCAACCCCTCCCCCACCAGCTCCGTGGGATCTCAGGGGAGCCTCTCCAACACCAGCGCCCTGTCCCCTTCGACCATCGTCAGCATCCCACAGCGCATCCACCAGATGGCAGCCAATCACGTCAGCATCACCAACAGCATTCTCCACAGCTACGACTACTGGGAGATGGCAGACAACCTGGCCAAGGAAAACCGAGGTGTGTGGCTTTGGGGGGTGCATGGCTCGACCTCAGCTCAGGGAGGCAGCCTGACCCTGGGCGTCACCACACACGTTGTCGTCATTGACCGAAGCAGAAATCCTAGAAGCTGTCACCTACGGCGTGAAACTTCCTGACCCCGCCTCTCACCGGGCCTGAACCCACCTTTTCTTCACTGTGGAAGATGGCACATCCCATAGAATAAAAGGCTAATATGCAAATTGTCCCCTTAACCTGGAGTTCGACCAGGGAGCAGGGCCAGCTGGCCAATTGCCTGCAGCCCCTCCCCCAGCTGGCCCTGCCCCTATCAGGGTTGGCCTTGATCAGGGCGGGCCAGCCAGACACCGCCTCCCGTCCCCCCCCCCCCTGCATGAATTCATGCACTGGGCCTCCAATAGAGATGATAAAGACGCAAGTAATGTGCAGATACAGATCTGTAGATACAGATATAGATGTGCACACACATGTTCTTTTTCCTGCTGGAGTGAGCTCCTTGAAGGCAGACTCTGTCTTACCCGGCTTTGTATTCCTAAGACACGCACCGAGCCCAGAACACGGCAGAGGTCTGGAACATTGAATGAACTAATTAATGAGTGTGAATGTTACTGGCTTGCTTTTGAAGTGATAGCTGCTTACAACCAAAAAGAAAGTGTTTACATGAAGCAAAAAGTTCCATTTCTTTTTTTAAGTGTTTTTTACTGATTATAAACGGAGTGCATGTTTATTGTGGCTAAATTTATAAAGTACAGAAAACTGTTGTAGAGGAAAAAAAGCTTTTTATATCATCAGTAATCGTACCACCAAGAATTAATTCCTGTTAGAACCCTACTGAAGTTTCTTCTGGTCTCCTCGAAATATGGGTGATTTTTTTTTTTACCACAATAAGGTCATAGTATATCTACAGGGTTATGTCCTGTTTTGATTTTTGTTGTTGTTGTTTAACAGTATATCAGAAATTATCTCATGTTACTAACTAGTTCTAAAACACCCTTTATGCTGGTTCTATAATGTAGTCAGCACGGTGGCTGTATAACCACAAAGTAAGATTTCTTGGGCCATTCCCCTGATGTTGAACACTTAGGCTACTTCCAATTTGTTCCACTATTACAAATAAGGTTGTGATAAATAGTTTCGCATAAGTCCTTTTCTATATTTTTTATTCTTTTCATAGGAAGGAGTTACAGAAGTAGAATTTTGGGGTCAACAGATACACATTCTTTTATAGATCCAGTCATTGAATGCACATTTGGTGCCGTGACAGCATAAGCCTCTGAGGACAAGCCCGGGTGTCCACATGCGATATTACATGGGGTAGGCAGTGGGGCCCGAGTTCACGAAACTGAGGAGAAAGCCAGGTAGCTCGCGTCGTGCAGCCCAGAGGTGCTGACCCCGACAATCCCCTGGGAAGCCGGCATGGAACAGGATTTTGAAAAGCAAATAGTGGCTGAGTAGCAGAGATGGGGTGGGGAGGGTGTCCCAAGTAGACAACGCAGAAGGACAAATGTATAAAGATGTCCGTGGCTGGTTCGGGACACCCTGCGCAGGCCAGGCTCTTGCACTGCCAGGGGCCACTAGACGGCTCCCCCGTGCGGGCCCAGTGGCACAGGTCCAGAGGGACGTCAGAATTGTGTTTCTGACAGCTCCCCTCCTGGTTCTGCTCTGATCCCAGCCACCTGGACTTGGCGTCCCCCTCACCCCTCCCTGGCCTCCAGCAGGCCCCCATTCAGCACGTATGCACATGAGCACCTTTGCAGACGTCTCCCAGGCACTCCTTCTGAAGGAGTGCTGTTCGGTGATCAGCTACGATGGCCCAGCAGCCTGTGCATGCATCTGTCTCTCCCGGCCGCTCCCTGTCTACCTGCTGCACCCGGCACAGGGCCTTGCACATACTAAGTTTAACGGAAGGACCAGCCCAGAGAATGTCCAAGCACTGGGAGCTCTTTCAGAACCGCCTCTGATTTGCTGCCTGGAGCCTCCTCCAGGGGACTCGTGTCAGTGCAGCGCACGCCACAGCTGGGTCAGGGGAGGGTGACGGGGCCACGACCCACGTCCAGGGTGGGAAGGTTGCTGCTCCGGGAGAATGTCCGGAGGAAGTCAGGGTTTGGCTAAGTCCAGGAGGGGTGGGGGGACATCCGGCCCGCAGGCCCTGTAAGGCCCCCAAAATCATTTGGTCTGGCCCTGCCAAGGCATGAGGGGTGAGTTTATGAAATGCAGCAGGCTGGTTTTTTAAGTGGGTAATTTTGTGTGGCCGGAGAATGATGGTGTAAATATCCCAATGGCCCTTGGCAGAACCAGGGTTCCCCTCACGGGGCTAAGTAAACGTCGTTCACTGGAATTAGAAATTGCCCCCAGAGTGACCATTTGGATAAAAGTCTGAGTGCTGTGCCTTTGTGTTTCGTTCTGTTCAGTGGAGCGCTGAGGCCGCACGACGGGCAGAGGAAGCTTGCCTCTCTCTAGGACCACGAGTGAAGCTGCTCCTTAAGTCACGTGGGCCCCAGGGTCGCACACTAACCGCTCTGTCTGTCCCCTAGAATTCTTCAACGACCTGGACCTGCTCATGGGGCCGGTGACCCTGCACAGCAGCATGGAGCACCTGGTGCAGTACTCCCAGCAGGGCCTGCACTGGCTGCGGACCAGCGCCCACCTGCCGTAGGCCCGCGCCCGCGGCCGCAGTGCTCCCCCTCCGAGGACGGCTCGACGTTCTGGACACTGTGCTACCGACACTCCCGGCCGCAGCGCTTATCAAACCCAGTGACTGTTTTCTCAGCATCGGACAGCGGTCTTTCCCAGGGCACGTGTGCCTGTATGTGTGGGTGCAGAAGCAGCAGCGTGTGTGTGTAAGATGCACAGCTCTTAAAACATACTTTCTTTGTCTGGTTTCCATAATCCCAGGCTAGACAAAGTGGTCAGAGGTTTCTGATTAGAGGCAATACGCTTACACACATACACACACAATAACACACACACACACACACACACACACACTCACACACACACATACACACACACTCTTTCTACTTCAAAGCTAACCCTTGACTTTGTAGAACATTCAACCAAAACCTTGTGGTGAGCTCACCAGGTGCCGCGAAGCACACCAACAGCCTGACTGCCAGTGAAGAGGACCTATCTTACGGTGGACGACCTTCAGTGTTGATACCCTATCCCCACTCACCCTTCGGTTGTACGTGTTCATGGGTAGTTGAGTAATGAAAGTCAGTCATGTTCTGCTGGATGTTTACTAGGTTGCATGTTACCAAATGCCCTGCCTTTCATTTATTTACTCCTCGCCCCTCCATCCAACCTCACCCTCAGCTGAATGCACTGTAAGCAGATGGACCGGCTGCCCTGCCCGCGCGTGGTCTGGGCGGGCGCCGGGTTCGGTGGGAACTCGGTGCCTTGGGAACGAGCCCACCCATGCCGAGGGGAGCCAGGCAGGACCCGGCATCTCCTGCACCTGCCACACGCCCGCCCGCAGGTGTCTCTCCTCCCTGCCTCGGTGGCCCGGGCCGGAGAGCCTGGTGGCACTGTCAGTCTTTTAAATGTGGCGTTTTTAAGCATTTCCTTTTGACAATGGCTTTCTCACTACCGTCTTGGCCACATGAAGACGTTCCCCAGATGGCGCCTCCCCTGGGAGTCTGTGTTGTCACCGGGCTGAGAGCCTGCGGTGTGCGGTGCCGTGCGACTGCATTGTGAACGGGGTGCGTGTCGGCCCGGTCACGGGCTGCCCTCTGCGCAGCGCGCTCCTCCCGCCTCCTCCCGCCTCACCTTGGTGCCGTCGGATGGCATGTCCTCTGTGCCGGCTATGTTTACGTCTTGCTCCCAACTCTTTCCTTTTTTTTTTTTTTTTAATTAAGTTTACATTTTAGTTTTTTGACACCTGTTTACATTTTTTGTCTGAAACTTGTTTATATTTTAGTCCCCTGTCATGCCCTAGATTTAGTCTTCTTATTAAACATATTTGGTTATAAAATTATTGCTTGAAAAGAAAAACAACAACAACAACAAAAGAGATGTGCTTTGCCATAACTTTCACAACAAAGATTATGGCTCTGAAGCCCCTCCCTGACCACATTGCACCGGGCTGGTCTTTTCAGACCTCCCTCCCCCTTTCTCCGGGGGGAGGGCGCCCAGCATCTATCACAGATTCGGACGGTCCGGTCGGTGGGTTCGGTTCCGATGTTGACATTCCCGTCATCCTGACGGACAGTGGAGATGAGATGTAATTCCCTAGCTCCCAGCACTCTCTCAGGACTGCACAAATGACTGATCTGTGCGCGTGGTGGCCCGAACTTAACTTACAAAGAGCAAGTGAAGGAAGGGATTTGCCATTGGCATTTGGCTTTGGCCTTCAAGCGTCTGCACTGTTCACAGAGTTTGTTTTACTTTCATCCAGCCCAGGGTCTGTCACAGCCTCGCGCTAGTCCTTGTAGAGTTCATGATCCCATTCATGTGGGAAGTTTCCGTCTAACTTAAGGAATTGTGAACTGACATGTGGGTTTTTGTGGCTGTGGTTTGTGTGTTCGGAGGACTGAGGCTTAGTTCCGCTTGCTCTCGCTGAATGCCGCACACCAGGGCTGGCCCCCAGGCGCGCCCCCAGGTGCTCCGCAGGCCCGTCCGTGTTAAAGCTGCAGGATGCGGTGTCCGCGGGGTGTGCTTCCCAGGAGGCCCCATCTGAACACCCAGGCGGCCTCTGTGTTTTCGAAAACCATGTTTCCCAGCAAACCCTGTCGTTGTGGGCGTGGCCTTTCGCTTCCTCGTGGAGCCTGAGAGGCAGAGTGTGTTAGCCTGGACGAGACGATTATGGTGAGGAGCCAACTTATTGTTGGTGCGTGTGAAAGTCATTCATAACTGTTCCTTTACTTACTTTTGTTCAGAGTAGAGATACATTTCTTGCATTTTCTGATTATAAAGCAATACATGCTTCAGTGTAAGAATTCAGACAACATGGAAACGTAGAAAGTAGTAAGTCCCATCCCAATCTCCCCTTACAGACAACCACTGCTCACAGCTTCATGTCTGTCCTTCTAGTGACGCTCCTGTGTCAACCCGTGCTGTCCCTTTAGTTCGTCTTTCTGTTTGGAGACATATTTCCTCAGCACAAGTCACCTGACCTTATCCTTCCGTGACCTGAACGGATGCCACCCTGTATCACAATGTTTCAGATGCATTCCTCCTCACCACATGGGGTTCGTGACTGCTCTCCACAGATCAGACTTACGTGCAGAATTGTGCCTGGAAAGAGAGTTTTGGTTAAAACAGAGATTTCTGGAAACTTTCCCATGACAAATGGAAACTTGGACCCGCTATCTAAAGAGGAATGTACTGGGAAAAAATAATCAGAAAAGCTGACAAATTGTGTACTAAATAGAAGGCATAGAACACAATGCAACGAGACTTCCTGCACTAAAACTCACCCCGGTGTGTGCGACACTGATGCGTGTATTATATAACAGTGATGTGTACATTTCTGACATCCCATGCATACGATACACAGTTTGTACAAACGCATACATTTAAAAATATATATGTACAATACAGCTACCATGAGACTGTAGTACGCCTGGAGGGTATGACTAGTGCCTAACATTGAGTGTAAGTCACTGCGTGTTCGCATCACCTTGGAAGAACGGTAATTGTTATAAAATTAATCAGTGCAACCAACATTATTTATGAATCACATCTTTGAAACTGTGCAGTAGTATATACATATATATTTTTAAACAACATTTTTCACAGTTTTCCAGAGTTACTGTTGAAATCTGTATCACCAAAAAAAAAAGAAAAGAAAAAAAAAAAGAAGCAAGATTTTTTTAACGATGTAGACACTCTTCAGACCCAGTAATCTGTGTGTGATTTCCTGTTTGTAGATACCCAAGAGACTTTAGCAGTCACCAGCCTTAATGCATGTACAGGATATTATTGTGACTTAATTTATCTGCAGTTTTTAATCCATGTGAAATTGGAATTTATAAACTGACTTGGATTAAATATGTCTGCCTTTCTAAGGTTGCAAATGTTACATTAAATGACTTACGTTGTAAATGAGAGAAATTGAGTTGTATGTAAAAAACACCCACCAGTTTCTGTGACTATTTTTATAAGAAAACATTAGATTCAGAATATGTTCCAGTAAGTATTCTGGTCCCCAGATCATAATCTCCTTAGAAGCGACCTTGTTTCGTGAGTTTGTTTTTGTTTTTGTTTTCAGAGAGGAAGGAAGAGGGAGAGAGAAACATCAGTGATGAGAGAGAATCATTGATCGGCTGCCTTCTGCACACCCCCTACTGGGCATCGAACCCACAACCCGGCCATGTACCCCTGACTGGAATTGAACCTGGGACCCTTCAGTCCTCAGGCCAACGTTCTATCCACTGAGCCAAACCAGCTAGGGCTCGTGAGGTTTTTTTTAACAGCTCCCACAGGTGATCCATATTCAGTCAAACTTTTTTTTTTTGAGCAAAAAAAGGGTAGTTTTTCTTCATTATACCTGCACGTTGCTACTTGTCTCTCCCAGCCCACACACAAGCCTGCACACGCATGTGAGAGAACACACCCACATGTTTCAGGAAACACTGATTAGGAGTTGACTCTGATGACCGCCTGGACACCTCCAGCCCCAAGACGCTGTCCTCTCAACATTCCTTCATGGCCAAGTTCATTCCCTGCCTTGTGCTCCAGGATTTTCCAGCTCAGACCAGCATGGTGAAATCATGTCTGCAATATCTGGATGAGTAGAATAAAAGACTTCTGAGTTAGCAAAGATGAAAGTATTAGACCAGTGTCCTGCCATGGTCTGTCCCCGGTGCAGGAGGCTTTTTTGTTCACCTCATTTTTCCCCTTCTCTCCCTCCTTTTTCAGTCTCCGCTTCCCCAAACTAAACTAAACAAAGGCAGGAGCAGTAACAAACACACCGATGGCTTTACCTCACCCAGCCCACATCCTCAGATTCCTGTACGCCTTTTCCTAAAGCAGAACCTCGCTTGGTCACCATGGAGACCGCCTCACTCCCATGCCAGCCAGGACGGGCACTGGGCTATGCTTGCTCCAGGACCACCAACTTGCTACTCCCTCACACCCACAGTCTTTCTAGAACTTTCTTTCTCTTATTCGGTATTGCCCGCTGCTCACCTAAAGCCTGTTTCTATGAGAATCCTATCTTTTTTTTTAAGTAACACCTTTTTATGAAACCTGGATCAACTGAAGTCTTGAAAAACTCTTTTCTTTAATGAAAGGGAAAAAAAAAACAACTACACGAACTGCATTCCCAACTCTTTGGAACCAGAGTTTTTTCTCATTTTCAGTCTCAATATTACAGCTTCCTGCCAAGCCGCACACAGAATGTTCAGATGTGAGGTTTGTGTTCTTTCTGTCCAAACCGAATTACTCTGCATTTGTCACCAGAGGGGCTCATTTGTTTCTTGGCGTGAGGAAAACCATAAAACTGTTCTCAAACCAATTCCCCCTGACCACGGGCTGGGCTTGCACTGTTTAATTGGCACTCCGAGGCTGCAGGGGTGAGTGTGGGGTCAGCTGCAAGGGGTGTAAGTCCACAGCTCTTACAGCAATGGGAGCTGGGGAGAGAATCCCCATGCGTTTCTTTAAAATCCTCTTACAGCCTGTCTTAAACACACTGATCTCAGGGATGAATTCAAG